AATTAATAGTATTAAATAAATCAAAATAATTGGTTAATAAGGTCGACGAAATATAACCATTTTATCTTTTTATTTTAATAGAAAACATTTAGTTATTTGCGAAGCTATTTTGAACAGTATAGTATTAACACTTATCCAGTAAAATGTGCTAGTTACCGAAAGCATTTATGTAGATTAATAGTGTAATTTATTTTATATCATTTAAATTAATACTTTTAATACATCACAGATTCAAAATGATGCGGAAAAAAAGTTGTTTGCGTGACGAGACCGAAACTTTTTAGACCGACATGCAATTAATGTTTATCCTATCTGTATTGTTTACTAAACCGGCAAAAATAATAATCGTAATTAAATAATGTTTTACCTTGAGTAGTTGTCAGCCATCGTAACAATTGGCGGGAATGCGGTGCGTGACACGTCCTTCCCGTTAAACTTTAGTGAACTGCTTCATCAATCGAGAGAGAGAGAGCTCGGGAGACCGCGGATCGAGAGCGAGCGATTCACTGTACATAACCGCGTTTTAGTGTAGTATGAGGGATACCTGCATTTATGTGATCGACGTGATAAGCAAAATATTTATATTTCATATTGATAATGCCGTTATTGGTGCATTTACTACAAAATCTCTTAATAAAAACGCATCTAAGTACTACGCATAAACGCCGTGATATTAGCGACATTTTTGTCTAGTATTTTCATTTAACGGCTTTTTAGCGTTTGATTTAGAACACTGTAATTTGAAACAAAGTAGAACTATAAAACCGTTAAAGTACTTTAACCCCATAATAGACTAGAAAATTCTATTAACGGCAATTTAGTTATGCAACTGATGGAAAACACTCTGGGAAAAAGGTAAATTATCAGCCCTTAGTCTCTTTTTAGTTTAATAATGTTGCTTACCTGCGTTTTAGCGTAGTAAACATATCAAAGAAGGCAACTTAACGGTGTTTTTCTTTTTTCTATCTCGGGATCCATAAATAGTAGAAAAATACTCCTTAGATAGAAAGATAGAGATTTTTTTTTCTGATTATGGTGACATCAAAAAACGAAAATCGACCAGATACGAGATAACGGCATTATTGCTTATGGACGGCAGAGACTATTTATTAGTTAATGGAATCATTTACACACATAAATTATAACAAAGTGTTTGTCCGTTATAGCGAAATAATTGTCTAAAATTAAGCTGAGGGGTTTCTTTACATGCTAATAAGACATGAATTTTCTGTCTGTATGTCTGTCCGTCGGGTCTTATCTTCGAAATATCTCAACCCATTGTAATAAAACTTCACGAACCAATAGAGAGCAACTGCAGGAGTGGTCTAGGTTATGTTTTACCCGAAAAATATGGAAATAAAAAACTCAACATTAATAGATCCTCGTCATGCCAAGCCGGGGCGGGTCGATAGTTGAAATATTTCAGTATTATTCCAACGAGATGCATGTTAAAAGTTAAGATATTCTTCAATATAAAAACTCGATATTACAATGCTAAAAATGATCGATATTTATGGATATTGAGACTTAATCCTATTCATGAGTCTATTACCTTTTCGTAGAGGGCAATGATTCAACATGTAAGGGGAAGCTTGCATGTTGAATCATTGCCCTCTATTTTTGTATGAAAATAAAACCTTTTTTTCATACAAAACCTTCAGGCTTTTAATCATTTTATGTGCTGTGGGTATCGCTTGGCTTGTTTCTTTTCACAATAACTACTTGATTACAAAGTTCCATAGCCTATTCTTGGTATCAAAATAAAAAATTATTTTGATACCTTTATACCTTTATTATTTTTTACCTTTAGTATTGCCAATTGACATTAATTCACTTTCATTATTATTTTAGAGGCGGCTGAATGGGTCTCTGATAGATAACTTTGTATCAGTGACATTTGCTGTAGAGGCTACCTGTCTGTGGGGTCTACGCACGGTGAAGTGCTTTGACTGCTGTATTCGTGACTGGTTGGCGCCGCTGGAGTAAAGAGGGCCGGTTTTTTTTTTTCACCGAGGCAGGCATATAATGACCAAAAGCAGCAATTGTTCTTGGCACAATTTTGTGGGAAGAACGACAGTTTAAAAAACTTAATTTTGAAGCAAAAAGATTTTAGGGTGATAATATTCACCGGAAGTTTGATCATGGCCTCGTTTTTCTCTATGATGAAATTCCTGAATATTGACTCTTGAATTTATTTTATTATCATAAATATACAGCCTTTTTATTTTGCGAGATGAATCAACAATTTGAAGATTACTCATAAACTATTAATTTAAAATTATTTGATGTCTACAAAATTTTATGAAATGCTCAGTTTGACCCTACCTAATTTAGATTATTTCTTCGAGGGAATAAACGTAAATTAGATTTGTGCTTAATTTTGTTTTAAACAATAATATACTTAATGTTAATTTCGTTTGACGGTCGCTAGTTTTTATATTTGCGTTGCGTGGGCGGGGTTAGTGCCATCAGTCCATTTCGTCCCGTGGGGGTTGCAAGCGGCGACTTTGGGAAATGTCAGCAAAATTATGGCTTCGATAGACAATAATAGGACAACTATAAAACAAATATAACATTTCGTTTACCGAAACCAACTTATTAAAGTTACAACGTAGTAAAGCTAAAACTTATTAAAGTCCACTACTGAACATAAATTTCCTCATAGGGGGATATTTACCATAGTTGTCACGCTTGGTAAGTTAGTTTTCAACTGCAGTTTTAGTCGCTATTATATATTATATACATATACTTTAACTTAAATTATACAAGCTGGCAGGAATTGGTTTTACCCCACATTTACTGCATTTTATATAGGCAGCAATATGTGGAATATGCGGGACATAAGACAGAGCCATATTTCACGTGGTCCGTGGTTAATCAGGGCAGTTAGCAGACTTGGCCCACCATAAATGGTGAAAAACGCTAAGTTTTTATTGTTTGGTGACGACCTCAAATTGTCTCCCGATAAAAATGGGTATGACTGTATCAGACTACAGAGAGACATAGACAGTTTTGTGAGTTGGAGCAAAGACAATCTCTTGCAATTTTACAGCTCTAAGTGTGTGTTGATTACTTTTTATCGCACGCACACTCCTATCTTACATAACTATTGCATTCACGAGCTACCGGTGACAAGGTTCAGAAAAGTTAAGGATTTAGGAGTAAATTTTATCACAGTGCTTACTTTTCATGATCCGATCATGAGCATCTGAGTAAGAGCTTATAGAAATCAAGGATTTATGCTTCCTTCGCTTGCTTTGCGAGGATTCACAAACATAAAAGCGATTATCGCTTTATACAATACCAATGTATGGAGTCGACTTGAGTGCTCTGCATCAAACTGAGTATAGTCTCATGATAGAGCGAGTACCGAATAAATTTATGAGATATTTATAAATCCGTTATTATGGTGTCGACGTATTTTATCACTTAATGTATCCAACTTTGTTAATCTTAAGTATGGTAGCCGTAAGGTATGGACGCCGATGGCAGCCGCGACTGTTAGTGGAGCCGCGCGGTCAGACGAACCTTCTGGGTGAGGCGCCTCTGACGCGCGCGCTCCACACGCTCAACTTAAAAGCTAGTGAGATGAACCTTTTCTGTTGTACTCTGAGTGAATTCAAAAAGACAGCATTGTTTGTAATTTTTTCACAAAAATTAAAGAATGAATGAATACAAATCAGTTAGACAGCTACACTATCGCATTACGTAATAAATCCTGTAATGATAGTTGTGAGTGTTAGAAATAAATAATTAAAAATAACATAAGCTCTCATAAAAGTCCGTATTTTTTATCATTCTGGGTGACTACGGACTTGCATTTAGCACGATGCTGAAATACCGTTCCAGCTTCACCCACAACCAGTTCACCGGTTACACCGAATTTTTTAGAGACGGTAAAGAAATCATCCAGTATATGAAGTAATGAAATTATTATATGTATTACGCGGTAGAGCCGTGCTGTAGTTATATTAGTTGTATAGTTGTAGCACGAATAGGTCGGCTAGACCGGGTAAGGATCACACTCTTACAGAATACCAGCGTAAAATAACAGCTTTTTTTTTACATGAGGAAATGCCTACGCATACCCGCCTCGCGGGGGCAAGGACGGGTTATTTCGGACTCGCACCGACTAAAACCCCATGGTGTTCCACCTTCGTCGCATATTGGCAGGGCTACGGGAACGCTTTCGCACACTTCCGCGGCCCTACCAGCGACTGCCGCCCCATGGCAGCACCTCCTCGGAAGAGGAATATTCCTCCCCGTTCTCCTTCCAAAGTAAGGCACACCAGAACACATGGCACGCCTTCCTCCACGGCCTCCAATTACATCTGCGCAACATACGACCCCGCGTCCGATGCGCGAAGGCCATGGGGCCAGGAAAAACGAGCACTTAGAAGTACTAGCCTTCCCGACCCCAGCGGCGGATCTTGTCTATGGCTCCGCCGCCAACCAAGATTCGGCTGCGGAGGATAGGGAGAGCGGCGCCTCGCAATACCGACTATCCTCTCCCCCCGCAGCCCCATCACCACCGCATCAACGGTGCGGCCCCGTTTGAGTCGCGGAGGATAGGGCGAGTGGTGCATCGCCATACCAACACTCCTCTTCCAAGTTTCGCGCCGAACGCCGCCGCGTTAGTAGCGAAACGCTTTAGCTCCGTCGATTAAAATTCGTAAATGTGGTAAAAAGTTGTACAATAGTGACATGTTATATATCAAAAAACGCGGAATTTGTCGTTTTATAACATGGTGAAAACCGCATAAAGCAGCGATTTTGGTAAAAAAAGACTAAGTTATTGATTGATATATATATATATATATATACATAATATGGCTGAAAACTGACTTTTATTTTTTGTGTGAACTTTGAGATTAAAATGGCACCACCTTACAGTAGTACTCTTTAAACCAAAACATAAACCACTTATAGACATTTTTTTAAATAATTTATAATTTTTTTGTTACCAACTTTCTATAAAGACTTATGTGTTTTGTGTGAATATGGCGCCGTCGCAGGGAGAAACTCCTCCCCTCCCAGCCTCAGCTGATGAGGCAAAGGACTTAGACACCTTTCTTCATGTGTTGAATAAGCTCGCCAGCTGCATTAACACAGCGGTCAATGAAGGCAAGAACGTGACCGCTGCTAATAAGCGATTAATTAGTCTAGCTGCGGAGGAAATTCACAAAGCTGGGCATATTTTTGGTCTCCTCAACCCCGCGTCCATCCATAGCTCACCAGCCTCCAACAGCGAGCTGAAGGAGGAAATTCTATCATGTGTGAGGGAGGAGATCGCAGGCGTGAAAAAACTGGTCATGGCCAATAAACCGACATATGCACAGGCAGCTGCAGTGGCTCGCGGGGCTTCGGCGCCCACTGGGCCAACTGCCCCCCGCATCCCCCCCCCTCAGTGTCCAAACCAGCGATTATAATTATTCCTACGGTAGAAGTGAAATCTCGCCAGGATGCCGTTGAACTCTTCAAAAAGAACATTAATTACCGCGCTTCCAACTACGCACCTGCTAGAATTCAGCCAGTTTCCAACAATAAGTTGCGGGTTGAATTCGACAACGAGACCCAGCTTAAAGACACCCTCACGCGGCTTCAGGGGAAAAGTGAGCTTAAAGCTGAACCAGTGCGAAAATTAAGACCTATGGTCATTCTTAAGGGAATCTCTAAGGATGTTCCAGCCGATGACTTAATTCAGTCCATCATTCGCCAAAATACAGTATTAACCGAACTGATTAACAATGGTGGTGGTGAGAACCTCAAGTTGAGGTTCAAACGTGAAAACAGAAACGCCAATTTGTACAATGCGGTATTGTCAGTAGAACCCAAACTATGCAATAAAATGCTCGACATGGGTCGAATCAGTGTCGAATATCAGCGAGTCCACGTAGCTAGCTTCTCGCCGTTCCTACAGTGCCACAAGTGCCTGCAGTTCAGTCATACTAAATTAAGGTGCACTGCGGACCAAAATCTCTGCTCACATTGTGCGAGCACGGAGCATGATGTGGGCAAATGTCCCAATAAAGATAAGCCCAACAGCGTCAAATGCTACAACTGCCACACTCATAACACGCGCTTCAATACAAAAATGGATACCAAACACACGGCCAACTCAAACACCTGCCCACGATTGCGAGCCATGAGGGAGAAGATTAATAACCGTGTCGATTATGGATATACACCGTAAATTAAAAATTTTACAGTGTAACATCGACCGATCCAAGAATGCGCAACACGAGATTCTTCTCTCGTTCATGGCAGGTGATTATGACATCGCCCTCATCTCCGAGCCATACGTTGGCTCTGGAGATCAGGTTAAATCAGTGATTGGAATTGACACATACCAGTTCTTCACGGGCAGCAGGATTAAGGCTTGCATCCTGGCAAAACCAGGATGCGGGTCCATCTTGGGATTATCTCAGTTTTCAACATCCAACTTCTGCGTTATCAAACTTACTACTGGAAATCGCAATATTTATATTGCATCTATATATGTGGAACCAGGCAGGGACGAGCTAGCAACGCTCGATAAATTAGATGTCTTTCTTAAAGACACAGGTGATGTTCACAAGATAGTGGGGGGTGATCTCAATGGGTGGCACCCAACTTGGGGAAGCGGGAAAACTAACTTACGGGGTAACGAAATCATAGATATTATACAAAGCAATGATATGTATGTATGTAACGTTGGCAACGTACCCACGTTTGAAACGGTCACCCACGGGCGAGATCGCTCTTCAATAATCGATCTCACATTTGTCTCTGGCTCCATCATTGATTACATCTTGGAATGGCGTGTTAATTTGAATATCTGCCCAACTTCCCAGCATAATGCTATAGACTACTGCATTGATTTCAACACAACCGACACAACACACACTCACCAGAACTCCACTTTTTTATACAAATCAAACAAAGCCTGTTGGCCTATTTTTAAGGACAAACTGCACACTCACATGACACTCACAAACATACTTGAACAGGACATTTCTATCTTGAATGTTGATGATCTGGATCAGGTCATCTCCGAGCTCACTAATGTGATCCACTCTGCATGCCGGGCAAGCATGCATGTTAAAGGCCGGGGAACAAAGCCGAAGGCTCCTTGGTGGACGGAGGAATTGGAGACCATCAAGCGGGAAGTGGTGGATTTGCACCACCAGCTTCATGCTGCTAAACGCCAAGGTTTGCCTTTGGACCAGATTTTGGAGGCACGCAAATCTATAAAGGAACTTTACGCTAGCAAAATGCGTGATGAGTCGACCAGGCATTTTCGTGAGTTCTGCGAGTTGCAAACTAAGGAAAATGTCTGGTCACTCACAAATAGGCTACTCAAAACTGCCACCCCTAGGCGCCCACCAGTTACCCTCAACAGAGACGGTACTTACACCACCAATAGCCAGGAGACTGCTAAGGCACTTTTGGACCATTTTTACCCGGGTGACTCACCCGACACCTTACCACGACATCACGAATTAAGATCTGACATGACCAACTCTCCTCAGTCCCATTACGACCCTCCCTTCACTCAGGAGGAGGTGTTGGAGTGTTTAAGACAAATGAATCCCAAAAAGGCTCCCGGACTCGACAACTTAACATCAGACATATGTTTACAGTTTGCGACAGACTATCCTAGACTCTTGACTGACATTCTTAACCGCTGTCTTGCACTCCAACACTTCCCTAACCAGTGGAAAACCGCTTTTGTCAAAATTATCCCGAAGCCGGGTAAGTCTGACTACAGCGCATTAGAGTCATTTCGTCCTATTGGCCTGATACCTGTGTTCGGCAAGCTGCTGGAAAAACTGTTCATTAGAAGAGTCACATACCATGCACAACGAAATAATCTGTTAAACAAATTTCAGTTCGGTTTCCGGGAACAGACCAACACGTGCGAAGCTATAAACACTGCGCTCGATATAATAAGACAAGCGAAAAGTAATAAGCAACTAAGTATCGCTATATCTCTAGATATAAAAGCAGCCTTTGATAACGCTTGGTGGCCGGCACTTTTCCACCGATTGCGGCATATCCAATGTCCTAATAACATCTTTGGACTCATTCAGGATTATGTCCGCGATCGGGAGGTCATTCTCGACTTTGCAGGGGGGCGGGTCACCAAGACGATGTCTAAGGGCTGCATCCAAGGCTCCACGTGCGGCCCTGTTCTCTGGAACATAATATTAGACGAATTACTCGACACCAAGCTTCCAGCGGGTTGCCACATACAGGCCTTTGCGGACGACGTCCTGCTGGTTGTTACGGCCGCGAGTGCGGGCAAACTGGAAAGCGCTGCCAACTTGGCTCTCCATCACATAATCGAGTGGGGAAGAAGCGTCAAGTTGGCATTCGGCCCTACCAAGACTAAGCTCATTGCCTTCACTCCTAAGGCTAAGACAGCCAGCATTAACATCGACGGACACCGACTTTGTTTTGTTCCAGAGGTGAAACTTTTAGGAGTAATCCTCGATGAGAAATTGAATTTCGGTAAACATGTGAAACACGTAGTTAACAGGGCCGTGCGGATCTTCAACACGCTCTGCATGTACTCGAGACCCACTTGGGGAGCCCATCCTAAAAACATCAGCACCATCTACCAGCAGGTCATCGTGCCAACGATCACCTATGCTGCGGGAATTTGGGGTCACGTCGCCCAGAAAAGGTGCATCAGGAGGGCACTCGAGAGCATGCAGCGCGGGTTTGCCCTCAAGGCTATTAGGGGATTCCGTACGGTCTCCACAGCCGCTGCACTAGCGTTAGCCCAATTCGTACCTCTGGACCTGAAAGTCCGAGAAGTCTGCGCTGTGGAAAGGGCTCGGCTCCGGGGTATCTCTGACCACATCCCCAGCGATATTCCGTTAGAAAAACCCACCCCCGTCTCCGAGCTACTTCATCCCGCCCAACGTATCTCCCTAACGAACAGAACCTATACAAATTACCTATCAATTCAACCTCTACATGGACAGACCACACACTGTATATTTACGGATGGAAGTAAACAGGAGGATGGTGCAGTGGGGGCCGCATTTGTTGGATATCTTCCAACAAATCTTGATGAAATAGCCTTCACCAAAAAATTTAAACTGCATTACACATGCACAGTGTTCCAAGCCGAGCTGTTTGCCATTTTACAGGCATGCAGGTGGATCAGAGAACACAAATATGCGCACACAATCATTTACACTGACTCACTCTCATCCATACATGCCATACAGAACAGAAGCAACACACACCCCATTATCACACAAATACACCAAATTATTCATGAACACAGTAAAATAGGCATCATAGAGTTGGGATGGGTCAAGGGTCACTCAGGCATAGCTGGTAATGAGGCAGCAGACATTGCTGCGAATGCCGGCTCAAAGTTACACAGACGGCCTGATTACTCGGCCTATCCCATTTCGTACCTTAAACAAATCATCAGAACTCAAAACCGTGCAACCTGGCAAGCTAGGTATTATAGCGCAGAACAGGGCCAACATACCAAACGACTGCTTCCGACACTGGAGGATATCGAGAGGCTACGCACCCTCACCAAACCAAGTTTTTACCTCACCCAGGTGCTCACCAACCACGGTTTCCACAAATATTATTTATGCCGTTTTAAAATAACCGATAATAATTATTGCCCATGCAACAATTACACCCCACAGACGCTGGAGCATCTTATAGAGCATTGTCCTGCATTTTCAGTACAAAGACTTAGTCATGTGATGAGGTGTGAAAACTTAAGAACCTCTCCGTTTAACCTGATTAACTTAATGAAGAAGGAATCCCTTCTGGATTCCTTCATGCAATTTGTTAATAGCATCATTAAAAACCTCAAAAACTTTAATAAAAGCTGTACATATGTAAATAGAAACAACTAGTTATTAAGTACCTTTTCTTTAAACTAATCTTTAAATAAAAATTATTCATAGTTATTGTATTACATATGTCATTTAATTTTTTTTGGACTAAGATTACCCCTCATACTCTTAATATTTTACCCCATCGTTAACAAAGCATTTGGCCATGTTTGGGAATAAGATTACCTCTAGTTTTATTTTATATCATTTTGTCCATAGTAATTTAAGAATACCATTTTGTTTTATTTTGTTGCTCATGGAACAAAGACTTCTCACAGTCTTCTTTAAATTTTCTACTTGACTGTGTCATTATACCATGTTATTTTGTGCCTAGAATTAAGATTACACTTGATTTATTTTACACTCATTTTATTGTTATTATGTTATTTTGTTATATAAATGTTATTATTGTGTTTAGTATAAAGATTATCCTGTGTGTTTATTCCATTTAAATTTTATTTTATTCGAATTTAACGGTCTTAATAACAATTTGTATATGTTTAGACATAAGAATACTTTATATGTTACTTTGTCAATTTCATTGTCACTAAATTATTCCGTCATTTTTGTGTTTAGATTTAACATTATTCTGTGTATTTATTTCCTTTAAGTTCACTCTCTTTATGCTACTCTGTACTCTGTCCGTATTTAGTGATAAGACTACACTATTCCACTTTTGTTTTATATTATAGGATTATTTAACCAGTTTGTCATCATTGTACCAATTCATTACACTAGAGACATTATATAACAGCTCTAGTTTAAAGTTAAGACAATTTTTTTTGTTTTTAGTTTTTATTTTAAATTTCATTTCATTATTTTCATTTTATTGTCATCCCGTTTTTAGTCTAACGGTGTGCGCGGCATGCGCGAGTCTATAAATAACAAAACGTCAATGTCAATCAAACGATTATTTTCACCGAACAACACCTATGTATAATATGTTAAAAAAATGTTGAGAATTGTAGTAATATGAGGAGAAGGAAAGCGCGTTATGTATCAAATCGCAGAAACGCGCAACCAGCTCCGTACGTGTAATAGTTATATTAAAAAAAATTTTAAAACAAAGCGAAACTTATCTGTGGAATCTGACAATATACTCCCGTCGGTGGGGGGTGTACCCTCCGGCGGAAATCATAAAAAAAAAAAAAAAAAAAAAAAAAAACACTCCTCTTCCTCCGCGACTCCACCTCGGCTGCAGCGGTAGAGGGTGCGGAGTCCCCACTCGCTGCAGTCCACCAGCACACATCCGAAGTGGGCTCCCCAAGCCCACTCGGAGTGGCCATCTCAGGCCGGCCCTTCACCTCGGGCCAGCCACGTGGGTTCCTCTTTGTTCACCGTGGGAGACCAAGCCACGGCTACTAAGCCCCCCCCCCCGCCACGACAAGGCGGGAACCCGTTCGGGGGGGAAAATAACAGCTTAATACTGCTGTTTGGTAAGGTGAGTGTAGAGATCCAGAGACCCTTTTTTACTGGAAACGAGGCATTCCATCTTTGTCCTCAGAGGTGACAACGCATCTGTGTTTTGATTCTTAATCGGGGATAAATGTAGATGTCTATGGGCCACAGCATCCAGTTACCACCAGGTGGACTGTGTGCTCGTTTGTTACCCATATTCTATAAACAAAAAGAGTATACGACATTTAAATCTTTCGAGCCAACTCGCATGATCTTTGAAAGTTAATTTTAAAAAGCGTGCAATATTTATTGCTATAAAAACTTGTTTATTTATAATACATATTCCCTCAATAATTATTAGATATTCAATATAATTACAACAACATTATAATAGATACAAACGATACTCAAAATACTTAAATCAATTTATTACGAAATATCCATCGCTGAATGTCTAAATTGGAAAGTTGATTTGACGTCATGCCCGGATTACTTATTATTACCCTATTTAATAGCTTTCCAGAGCAACAAACACGATTTTGTCATTACTGGCTAATTGTGGCCGTATAGCTTTTTATAAGTTCTCACTTTCTAATATAATGGAGCTCGTCACTTTATTGTGAAATGTTAAAAAGCGTCAAAAAGTTTTTGTACAGGAACGGGAGGCAGGTTCTCTTCAATGATTGATTTATTGAACGTTTGCTGCTTATATTTAAATCGTCTTTTTGCTAACAGTGTGTACCAGATAAAGAACGCTCGTTGTACAGGACCCGTAGCAGTTTGGATGATGGCGACACGCGACACGCCGTTCTTTCCGGGGAAAATATGGGTATTTCTGCCCATACGCCATTTAAGGGGTGGTAGGTTGTCCTCCTTTATAACGACAAGCGTGTTTAATGCTACGTCTTGACTGTTCGCCTTCCACTTCGTCCTTGTCTGAAGTTCAGCAACATACTCTTGTGTCCAGCGTTTTCAGAAGTGCTGTTTTATTTGTTCCACTCTTTGAAACCGTGTCAAGCTGTAAGTCCATGCTTCGGTGAGGTCTCTGCAGGCTCGTGCAGTGAGTGGCCGGCCGATGAGAAAATGAGCTGGGCTTAGTGGACGAAGATCATGTGGATCTGGGACATAGGACTTATAGGACGGGAGTTTAGGACTGCTTCGATCTGTGCCAACACAGTGCTGAACTCCTCATACGTCAAGTTAGCGGTACCCACGACACGCTTAAGGTGGAACTTACAGGATTTTACTCCTGCTACCCACAATCCCCCAAAATGAGGAGCATATGGGGGAATAAATTTATTCAGTTGAGTATTGACAGTTGATAATTTATCAATTATTTGCTTCGAATTTTCCTCTAACATTTTGTTAATCTCTTTCATGGCTCCAATGAATGTTCTACCGTTGTCTGAAAAAAATTGAGCTGGTTTACCTCGTCGTGAGATAAATCTTTTAAGTGCTAATGTATATTCTTAAGCATCTGACGTACTGACAAGTTCTAGATGAATGGCCCGGGTAACAAAACAAACAAATATGCAAATATAACCCTTTTCCAATTTAGCTCCCCTTCCTTTGCGTACGTTTATGGGACCCGCATAATCCACTCCACATCGAATAAATGGGAAATTTATTCGTTCAGACGGAAGGTTGCCCATGATTGGCGTTAGGGTTTTACCTTCCATTCGAATGCAGCGGACACATTGGTGGACAATCTTTCTAGCTAGGTTTTCACCCCCTAACGGCCACCACTTCTCACGCACGGTGGCCAATAGCAGCTGGGGACCAGCATGAAGAAGCTCATTGTATTGATGTTGAAACAACAATTGTGTGAAGTTTTGTTTACATGATAAAATTATCGGGTGCTTCTTGTCGTAATTAAAGTCAGGCGAGTTACTAAGACCTACTCTAATTATATCCCTTTCATCTAGAAATATATTAAGCCTACAAATCGAACCTGAAGTTTTTAAAGGTAAGTTACGTTTTAACTTATCATATTCCATCGGAAACGATTCGCGTTAAGCAAGAGGCGCTAACGACTGTAATGTGTTATTCAATTCATCTACTGATAACGGCCCCTGTGTACGATCTGTCTTTGGTGTGCGTAAGTTATGTATGTATCGCAACAGGTAAGCCCCGGTGTGCACGATACGCTGATAAGATCGAAACCTTTAAAAATTAATAATTTTATTCTTTGTTACATCACAAACCATAACGGTTGTCGTTTGTGATTTTAGTTCCGGTAAGTCGTAGTGTGTAGTCGAAGATTGCTGTAACCATGACGACTCAGAATTTTTTAAGAACTCAGGTTTCTCCACCACAGATTACTGTTAATGAGTACATCAAGACTAGAGTACTAGACTGCTCGAGACCAGATCCGCTGGGTTATTTTTGGTTCCTACATGTAACCATAACGCATTACTTGTTATTTCATTAATCTCCACTATTCTATTTTGAACGAATGTTTTTAACGAATGTGGTGACATACATAGCCATCCAAGGACAGTAGTTGAGTCTGTCCAAAA